TGTCGAGTTGTATTAGTGCTGGTTTGAGTGTAGAATGATGGTAGCATGAACATGTCGAGTTTTATCTGTGGATGATCTGAACATGAAGGCTCAGATACTAAATCTGTCCACAGATAAATTCATCAGCATGTACCGGCAGGCGGGAGAGGATTTATGGGATTGTGTCGGGTCATACGTGCGGTGTTTATGGACGGCCAACGTGTCGGGTCATACGTGCGGTGTTTATGGACGGCCAACGTGTCGGGTGATACGTGCGGTGTTTATGGACGGCCAACGTGTGCGGGTCATACGTGCGGTGTTTATGGACGGCCAACGTGTGCGGGTCATACGTGCGGTGTTTATGGACGGCCAACGTGTCGGGTCATACGTGCGGTGTTTATGGACGGCCAACGTGTCGGGTGATACGTGCGGTGTTTATGGACGGCCAACGTGTGCGGGTCATACGTGCGGTGTTTATGGACGGCCAACGTGTCGGGTCATACGTGCGGTGTTTATGGACGGCCAACGTGTCGGGTGATACGTGCGGTGTTTATGGACGGCCAACGTGTGCGGGTCATACGTGCGGTGTTTATGGACGGCCAACGTGTCGGGTCATACGTGCGGTGTTTATGGACGGCCAACGTGTCGGGTGATACGTGCGGTGTTTATGGACGGCCAACGTGTGCGGGTCATACGTGCGGTGTTTATGGACGGCCAACGTGTCGGGTCATACGTGCGGTGTTTATGGACGGCCAACGTGTCGGGTGATACGTGCGGTGTTTATGGACGGCCAACGTGTGCGGGTCATACGTGCGGTGTTTATGGACGGCCAACGTGTGCGGGTCATACGTGCGGTGTTTATGGACGGCCAACGTGTCGGGTCATACGTGCGGTGTTTATGGACGGCCAACGTGTCGGGTGATACGTGCGGTGTTTATGGACGGCCAACGTGTGCGGGTCATACGTGCGGTGTTTATGGACGGCCAACGTGTCGGGTCATACGTGCGGTGTTTATGGACGGCCAACGTGTCGGGTGATACGTGCGGTGTTTATGGACGGCCAACGTGTGCGGGTCATACGTGCGGTGTTTATGGACGGCCAACGTGTCGGGTCATACGTGCGGTGTTTATGGACGGCCAACGTGTCGGGTCATACGGCCGGTGTTTATGGACGGCCAACGTGTCGGGTCATACGTGCGGTGTTTATGGACGGCCAACGTGTGCGGGTCATACGTGCGGTGTTTATGGACGGCCAACGTGTCGGGTCATACGTGCGGTGTTTATAGACGGCCAATGTGTGTGGGTCATACGTGCGGTGTTTATGGACGGCCAACGTGTCGGGTCATACGTGCGGTGTTTATGGACGGCCAACGTGTCGGGTCATACGTGCGGTGTTTATGGACGGCCAACGTGTCGGGTCATACGTGCGGTGTTTATGGACGGCCAACGTGTCGGGTCATACGTGCGGTGTTTATGGACGGCCAACGTGTCGGGTCATACGTGCGGTGTTTATGGACGGCCAATGTGTGGGGGTCATACGGCCGGTGTTTATGGACGACCAATGTGTGGGGGTCATACGGGCGTTGTTAATAGAATTCCCCGCTAACTGTAAAAAAAATAAAACGTCAAAAAAAATTTGGCCAATTGAACAAGGTGTAACGTGACACCGTTGACGGGAAGTAATTAATTACATTGTGACAGGTGACCTACATTGTGACAGGTGACCTACATTGTGACAGGTAGGCCTACAGGTAGACCTACATTCTGACAGGTAGGCCTACATTGTGACAGGTAGACCTACAGGTAGACCTACATTCTGACAGGTAGACCTACAGGTAGACCTACATTGTGAAAGGTAGACCTACAGGTAGACCTACATTCTGACAGGTAGACCTACATTGTGACAGGTAGACCTACTTTATGACAGGTAGACCTACTTTATGACAGGTAGACCTACATTCTGACAGGTAGACCTACTTTATGACAGGTAGACCTACATTGTGACAGGTAGACCTACAGGTAGACCTACATTGTGACAGGTAGACCTACAGGTAGGCCTACATTGTGACAGGTAGACCTACATTGTGACAGGTAGACCTACATTGTGACAGGTAGACCTACTTTATGACAGGTAGACCTACATTGTGACAGGTAGACCTACAGGTAGACCTACATTGTGACAGGTAGACCTACATTGTGACAGGTAGACCTACTTTATGACAGGTAGACCTACATTGTGACAGGTAGACCTACAGGTAGACCTACATTGTGACAGGTAGACCTACAGGTAGGCCTACATTGTGACAGGTAGACCTACATTGTGACAGGTAGACCTACATTGTGACAGGTAGACCTACTTTATGACAGGTAGACCTACATTGTGACAGGTAGACCTACAGGTAGACCTACATTGTGACAGGTAGACCTACATTGTGACAGGTAGACCTACTTTATGACAGGTAGACCTACATTGTGACAGGTAGACCTACAGGTAGACCTACAGGTAGACCTACATTGTGAGAGGTAGACCTACATTCTGACAGGTAGACCTACATTCTGACAGGTAGACCTACATTGTAGCAGGTAGACCTATACCGAAATGGTTTACGAAGCTAGACACATGTCCTGTATGTTCAATACTAATGGCTGTACAAAGATGTTTTTTTTCATTCAACGCATACATAAAATCTTGTTTTATTTTCGAATACAGTTTTTTTATAAAGCCAGACTAGAGGACAAAAACAAAACCCAATAACACATCAAATAAACCGGGAGTGATCTCCCCTAAACTTTCTCGAATATTCTTATATAAAACAACAAGGGATGGCAAATCGGGATATAGACATGATTTTTAATTACTTTAACTTTTAAAAATCGAATAAAATCTCGTAGATTGACGTAGAAAAAAGAATTGCGCAGCAAGCGAACGCCAAACAATATGTGCATAATAGTGCGGAATATTATTCGTACTTTGTAAATTTACATGCATTGTTTGAGAAATCGGAAGTAGCGTAAATTACTACTTCTGGTCAACGGAAATTACTGAAAACTTAAAAGAAGGCAGATAATTACATCTTTTACTTACACGCGAAATTTCATTTATCTGTCTGAAATAGTACTCAAGTATTAAGCTTTTGAAAAATTGAAAGTAGAAAAAGTTCCACTTCCATTTATCGGAAATTGATCAAAAGTTGATACGGATTTACAAATTTCATACAATACTTATATATATATATATATATATATATATATATATATATATATATATATATATATATATATATATATATATATATATATATATGTAAATATGTCCGTATTTCTGTGAGTGTGTATGTGTCTGTGTGTGTCTGTGTGAGTGTGTATGTGTCTGTGTGTGTCTGTGTGAGTGTGTATGTGTCTGTGTGTGTCTGTGTCTGACAACACGATAACTTGAGTACCGCTACAGCTGTGTTGCTAAATTTCATATATAAGTATCGAATAATTTCAGCGAACGCTGGTGACCTATTTAAGTCTAATTACGCATGTTATCTCCCCTTTCTGTTACTAAACATAGCTAGCTTTTAATTAACTTTTAATGACAACAACTGCCACCAACAACTGTCACCAACAGCTGTAACAACAGCAGTAACAACAGCAGTAACAACAATACCTGTAGTAATATCTAACTAGAGACAGTGGATCCTTTTAATTTCTGCTTAAGTAATTTTAGTAACTTTTAGTAATTTTTGTTTTGTTTTGCTTAGTTTTGTTGTTTACCTATGATACACAAGTTTACCTTTCACCGTTTTACCTTTCACCTTTTTACCTTTCACCTTTTTACCTTTCATGTGTTATTTGATGTAACCTGGCTATTCGCTGACTGCTCCCTACGTGACTACGTAACCCTAAACATGGTACGTTCCATACACCTTGTAACCCCTATTCCCCTAAACATGGTACGTTCCATACACCTTGTAACCCCAATCCCCTTAAACATGGTATGTTCCATACACCTTGTAACCCCTATTCCCCTAAACATGGTACGTTCCACATATCTTGTAACCCCTATTCCCCTAAACATGGTACGTTCCATACACCTTGTAACCCCAATCCCCTTAAACATGTTATGTTCCATACACCTTGTAACCCCTATTCCCCTAAACATGGTACGTTCCACATATCTTGTAACCCCTATTCCCCTAAACATGGTACGTTCCATACACCTTGTAACCCCTATTCCCCTAAACATGGTATGTTCCATACACCTTGTAACCCCTATTCCCCTAAACATGGTATGTTCCATACACCTTGTAACCCCTATTCCCCTAAACATGGTACGTTCCACATATCTTGTAACCCCTATTCCCCTAAACATGGAATGTTCCACGTTACAACACCCACTGTTAAAGGGATTAGAAAATATTTAGTAGCTTGCCGAGTGAGTTCAGGCAAAAAAAGATTAAGGCAACAAAACACTCAAAGCTGTGCACGGGAAAAATAGCGGTAGGCTTCATAAAAATCTGCTCGGGAATTTACGCTATGCTTCACATAAGTTTACTTTGTATAAAAACAGTTTTCAGTCTGTGTGCTATCTCTCTTATATTTAGAAGTCTCTATCTCTCTTATATTTAGAAGTCTCTATCTCTCTTATAGTTAGAAGTTTGTATCTCTCTTATATTTAGAAGTCTCTATCTCTCTTATAGTTAGAAGTTTGTATCTCTCTTATATTTAGAAGTCTGTATCTCTCTTATAGTTAGAAGTTGTCTCTGTTATTGTTGGAAGTCTATTAGCTGGCTCTGTTATTGCCAAGATATTGCCAAGATATTGCCAAGATATTGCCAAGATATTGCCAAGATATTGTCAGATAAAGATAAAAGAAAAGCAGACCATCGACACGTGCTCACACATAATTGGCCGAAGAATTGTCCAAATAGACTACAGGGAAATCAAGTATTTGGCCAGCTTTCAATATTGTCCTTTACCGTTAGTCACAAACATAACCGTGACTGTAACGTTTTGTGTCACGTGTCTATTCTACAGGTCGACCTGAGACCATAAGCTCCTGCTGTGAGGATGTAAAGTCCCACAGGACCGCATGGATCCAACGGCCGCCATATTGTCCTGTGTGGTCACATGACCGGATTGGCCAGGATGTCGGCAAATGAAACGGCTGAAGAGTGCCTCGAGGACGGCGGAAGTGACGACATGAACATGGGCAGCGTGGAGGCATACATCAGCCTGTACATCCTGCCCACTGTTTGCGTCTTCGGTATCTTCGGCAACTTGCTCAACCTAACCATCCTAACCAGGTGAGTCACGTGACTGGTCAGTTTATACATCTATAGTGTACAGGTCATTTTATACATCTGTAGTGTACGGGTCAGTTTATACATCTGTAGTGTACGGGTCAGTTTATACATCTGGTAGTGTACAGGTCATGTATACGTCTGTAGTGTACGGGTCATGTATACATCTGTAGTGTACTGGTCAGTTTATACATCTGGAAGTGTACAGGTCATGTATACGTCTGTAGTGTACAGGTCAGTTTATACATCTGGTAGTGTACGGGTCAGTTTATACATCTGTAGTGTACGGGTCATGTATACGTCTGTAGTGTACAGGTCATTTTGTACATCTGTAGTGTACGGGTCAGTTTATACATCTGGTAGTGTACTGGTCAGTTTATACATCTGTAGTGTACGGGTCATGTATACGTCTGTAGTGTACAGGTCATTTTGTACATCTGTAGTGTACGGGTCATGTATACGTCTGTAGTGTACTGGTCAGTTTATACATCTGGTAGTGTACTGGTCAGTTTATACATCTGTAGTGTACTGGTCAGTTTATACATCTGTAGTGTACTGGTCAGTTTATACATCTGTAGTGTACTGGTCAGTTTATACATCTGTAGTGTACAGGTCATTTTGTACATCTGTAGTGTACGGGTCATGTATACGTCTGTAGTGTACTGGTCAGTTTATATATCTGTAGTGTACTGGTCAGTTTATATATCTGTAGTGTACTGGTCAGTTTATACATCTGTAGTGTACTGGTCAGTTTATACATCTGGTAGTGTACAGGTCATGTATACGTCTGTAGTGTACAGGTCAGTTTATACATCTGTAGTGTACGGGTCAGTTTATACATCTGGTAGTGTACGGGTCAGTTTATACGTCTGTAGTGTACTGGTCAGTTTATACGTCTGTAGTGTACGGGTCATGTATACGTCTGTAGTGTACGGGTCATGTATACATCTGTAGTGTACTGGTCAGTTTATACATCTGTAGTGTACGGGTCACGTATACATCTGTAGTGTACTGGTCAGTTTATACGTCTGTAGTGTACTGGTCAGTTTATACATCTGTAGTGTACGGGTCATGTATACATCTGTAGTGTACTGGTCAGTTTATACATCTGGTAGTGTACGGGTCATGTATACGTCTGTAGTGTACTGGTCAGTTTATACGTCTGTAGTGTACGGGTCAGTTTATACATCTGGTAGTGTACGGGTCAGTTTATACGTCTGTAGTGTACGGGTCAGTTTATACATCTGTAGTGTACGGGTCAGTTTATACATCTGGTAGTGTACGGGTCATGTATACGTCTGTAGTGTACAGGTCAGTTTATACATCTGTAGTGTACTGGTCAGTTTATACATCTGTAGTGTACGGGTCACGTATACGTCTGTAGTGTACGGGTCATGTATACGTCTGTAGTGTACGGGTCAGTTTATACATCTGTAGTGTACGGGTCATTTTGTACATCTGTAGTGTACGGGTCATGTATACGTCTGTAGTGTACAGGTCAGTTTATACATCTGTAGTGTACTGGTCAGTTTATACATCTGTAGTGTACGGGTCACGTATACGTCTGTAGTGTACGGGTCATGTATACGTCTGTAGTGTACTGGTCAGTTTATACGTCTGTAGTGTACGGGTCAGTTTATACATCTGGTAGTGTACAGGTCATGTATACGTCTGTAGTGTACTGGTCAGTTTATACATCTGGTAGTGTACGGGTCAGTTTATACATCTGTAGTGTACTGGTCAGTTTATACATCTGGTAGTGTACGGGTCAGTTTATACATCTGGTAGTGTACAGGTCATGTATACGTCTGTAGTGTACTGGTCAGTTTATACATCTGGTAGTGTACGGGTCAGTTTATACATCTGTAGTGTACGGGTCATGTATACGTCTGTAGTGTACTGGTCAGTTTATACATCTGTAGTGTACGGGTCATGTATACGTCTGTAGTGTACGAGTCAGTTTATACATCTGGTAGGGTACTGGTCAGTTTATACATCTGTAGTGTACGGGTCAGTTTATACATCTGGTAGGGTACTGGTCAGTTTATACATCTGTAGTGTACGGGTCAGTTTATACATCTGGTAGGGTACTGGTCAGTTTATACATCTGTAGTGTACGGGTCAGTTTATACATCTGTAGTGTACGGGTCAGTTTATACATCTGGTAGGGTACTGGTCAGTTTATACATCTGTAGGGTACTGGTCAGTTTATACATCTGTAGTGTACTGGTCAGTTTATACATCTGTAGTGTACGGGTCAGTTTATACATCTGTAGTGTACGGGTCATTTTGTACATCTGTAGTGTACTGGTCAGTTTATACATCTGGTAGTGTACGGGTCATTTTGTACATCTGTAGTGTACGGGTCATTTTGTACATCTGTAGTGTACTGGTCAGTTTATACATCTGGTAGTGTACGGGTCACGTATACGTCTGTAGTGTACGGGTCAGTTTATACATCTGTAGTGTACGAGTCAGTTTATACATCTGTAGTGTACGGGTCAGTTTATACATCTGTAGTGTACAGGTCATTTTGTACATCTGTAGTGTACTGGTCAGTTTATACATCTGGTAGTGTACGGGTCATGTATACGTCTGTAATGTACATGTCATTTCATACATCTGGAGGTGTACGGGTCAGTTTATACACCTGGTAGTTATACACTTACCACCCAGAAACCATCCACATACACCCCACATATAAATAGACATTTGTTTCAAACTTTTAGGTAACTCACTAGGTAACTCACTAGGTAACTAACTAGGTAACTCACTAGGTAACTCACTAGGTAACTAACTAGGTAACTAACTAGGTAACTCACTAGGTAACTCACAAGGTAACTCAGGTCATGTCTGATGATCTAAGCATTCAATGGAGAGACTAGACGATCTTTTCTCATAAATGATATGTAATGAGAGGGGGGGGGGTATAACAAGATGAAAGCTGCCTTTGATATAGTGAGTGATAATTCATGTAATCGAGATATCAAACGAAATGGCAACGCTAAAAACACGCAGAATCTCACTTCACATACATCATACATCACATACATCATACATCAATATATAACATTTCATATACATCATACATCAAACACATCATACATCACATACATCATACATCATACATCACATACAACAAACATCACATACATCAAACATCGAATACATCATATACATCACACATTACATAATCACACATCACATACATCATACATCACATACATCATACATGAAATATAACATTTCATATACATCACACATCAAATATAGCATATATACATCACATACATCATATATCACATACGCCATACTTCACATATATCATACATCACATACATCACATACATCACATATATCATACATCACATACATCATACATCACATATATCATACATCAATTATATCATACATGACATACATCTTACATCTCATACATCATACATCACATACATCATATATGCCATACTTCACATATATCATACATCACATACATCATACATCACATACATCACATACATTATACATCACATGCATCATACATCACATACATCACATACATCATACATCATACATCACTTATATCGTACATCACTTATATCATACATCACATACATCATACATCACATACATCATACATCACATATATCATACATCACATACATCATACATCACGTACATAATACATACATCATACATAACATATATGATACATCACATACCTCATACATCACATATATCATACATCACTTATATCGTACATCACAATATATCATACATCACATACATCATGCATCACATACATCATACATCACAAATATCATACATCACATACATCATACATCACATACATCACATAAATTATACATCTCATACATCACATATGTCATACATTACATATATCATACATCACATACATCACACACATCACATACATCATGCATCATATATATCATACATCAGATACATCTTACATCACTTATATCGTACATCACAATATATCATACATCACATACATCATACATCACATACATCATACATCACATATATCATACATCACATACATCATACATCACGTGCATAATACATACATCATACATAACATATATGATACATCACATACCTCATACATCACATATATCATACATCACTTATATCGTACATCACAATATATCATACATCACATACATCATGCATCACATACATCATACATCACATATATCATACATCACATACATCATACATCACATACATCACATAAATTATACATCTCATACATCACATATGTCATACATCACATATATCATACATCACATACATCACACACATCACATACATCATGCATCATATATATCATACATCAGATACATCATACATCACATATATCATACATCACATATATCATACATGACATACATCATACATCTCATACATCATACATCACATACATCATATATCACATACGCCATACATCACATACATCATACATCACATACATCATACATCACATACATTATACATCACACACATCATACATAACATATATGATACATCACATACCACATACATCACATATAGCATACATCACATATATCGTACATCACAATATATCATACATCACATACATCATACATCACATACATCATACATCACATACATCACATACATTATGCATCACATGCATCATATATCACATATGTCATACATCACATATATCATACATCACATACGTCATACATCAAATACATCATACATCAAATATCACATACATCATACATCACATACATTATACCTCACACATCACATACATCATACATCAAATGCAGCATACATCACACATCGCATACATCATACATCAAATACATCATACATCACATACATCATACACCAAATATAACTTCATCCGCATTACATTCTTCACGTGCATCATTGCATAATTATATCATACATCGCATACATCACACGCCATATACATTACATTACAAGCCATATACATCATGTACCACATTTATAACATTTATAACACACATCACAGACACCGTTCGCCACGACCGAGAGCTTGCGGTAACGTATCACATTGTTTGTTGCGGCAATGTATCACATTGTTGCGACAATGTATCACATTTATTTGTTGCGGCAATGTATCACATTGTTGCGACAATGTATCACATTTATTTGTTGCGGCAATGTATCACATTGTTGCGACAATGTATCACATTTATTTGTTGCGGCAATGTATCACATTGTTTGTTGCGGCAATGTATCACATTGTTTGTTGCGGAAATGTATTAAATTATTTGTTGCGACAATGTATCACATTTATTTGTTGCGGCAATGTATCACATTGTTTGTTGCGGCAATGTATCACATTGTTTGTTGCGGAAATGTATTAAATTATTTGTTGCGGCAATGTATCACATTTATTTGTTGCGGCAATGTATCACATTGTTGCGACAATGTATCACATTTATTTGTTTCGGCAATGTATCACATATATTTGTTGCGGCAATGTATCACATTTATTTGTTGCGGCAATGTATCACATTGTTTGTTGCGGCAATGTATCACATTGTTTGTTGCGGCAATGTATCACATATATTTGTTGCGGCAATGTATCACATTTATTTGTTGCGGCAATGTATCACATTGTTTGTTGCGGCAATGTATCACATTGTTTGTTGCGGCAATGTATCACATTGTTGCGGCAATATATCACATTTATTTGTTGCGGCAATGTATCACATTGTTTGTTGCGGCAATGTATCACATTGTTTGTTGCGGAAATGTATTAAATTATTTGTTGCGGCAATGTATCACATTTATTTGTTGCGGCAATGTATCACATTGTTTGTTGCGGCAATGTATCACATTGTTTGTTGCGGAAATGTATTAAATTATTTGTTGCGGCAATGTATCACATTTATTTGTTGCGGCAATGTATCACATTTATTTGTTGCGGCAATGTATCACATTGTTTGTTGCGGAAATGTATCACATTGTTGCGGCAATGTATCACATTTATTTGTTTCGGCAATGTATCACATTGTTGCGACAATGTATCACATTTATTTGTTTCGGCAATGTATCACATATATTTGTTGCGGCAATGTATCACATTTATTTGTTGCGGCAATGTATCACATTGTTTGTTGCGGAAATGTATCACATTGTTGCGGCAATGTATCACATTTATTTGTTGCGGCAATGTATCACATTGTTTGTTGCGACAATGTATCACATTGTTTATTGCGGCAATGTATCACATTGTTTGTTGCGGCAATGTATCACATTGTTTGTTGCGACAATGTATCACATTGTTTGTTGCGGCAATGTATCACATTGTTGCGGCAATGTACCACATTGTTTGTTGCGGCAATGTATCACATTGTTTGTTGCGGCAATGTATCACATTGTTTGTTGCGACAATGTATCACATTGTTTATTGCGGCAATGTATCACATTGTTTGTTGCGGCAATGTATCACATTTAAAAATGCTTTTATCACTCTCAAAACAACTGAGGTCAAATCACTCCCTGTTCTAGTTTTTTAGCAATCGAAAAGATTGTAAGACTTTCTAAGGTCACCTGCACTCATTTTTTTTCTGCCATATGATATGTTCTGGGGCGTTAGTGGGACGTCACTTGTAGGGACGTCACTGGTATGGGCGTGGGTGGGACGTTACTTGTAGGGACGTGAGTGGGACGTCACTGGTAGGGACGTCGCTTAAAGATTTAAGACACACTGTCTTAAAGATTCAAGATTTAAGACACACTGTCTTAAAGATTCAAGATTTAAGACACACCGTTTTAAAGATTCAAGATTTAGGACACACTGTCTTAAAGATTCAAGACATACTGTCTTAAATATTCAAGACATTGTCTTAAAGATTCCATACACACTGTTTTACATTTTCCATGACACACTTTCTTAAAGATTTCAGACATATTAATTTAACAATAGTCCAAGTCAAGTAGGATAAGAAACAAAATTAATTTTCACAACATTGAATTTTTCACTTTTCGCATGATTTGATTTCCCCTCAAGTAAGTTGAAGTGTTCAATTTCCCCAGACAAAAGCTCCAGAAATCCTTCAGGACTCTCGAGCAGGCCGCCAACCTGTGCCTCATCTCTCTGGCACTCTCAGACTTCATGTTCTGCGTCTTGGCATTCCTGACCATGTTCGTGCCGGCTGACCGGATTTTTCCGGACCGAGGGCTGCTCTTCCTGTACGGCCGTTACGCCCATGGGATGATCAACATCTTCATCATGGAGAGCACCATGCTGACTGTCGCCATGTCGCTAGAACGTTTCATGGCCATCTGTTACCCTCTGAGGCAGGACCTCTACCTAACCACACGCCGCACCAAGTACATTATCGTCTGCACGTTTATATTCTCAATTCTCTTCAATATTCCTGTCATGTTTCGCTTTCAGCCAGTCGTCATATGCGCATTCAACTCGAGCATAGACTCAAATGACGTCAGTTTTCACGATAATGGAAACATTTCCGCCATATTGACGACGTCAGCCTCGCTACATTCCACGCCCTCCCCGCGGGTCAGTTCTTCCGTTCGCTACTCGCTGGCCACTGTCCCTCTGTACAATACGGCAGCTCTGGACACTGCCTACAGGATCGCCTGGGCCTTGGTGGGCAACTTCATCCCGTTGATCCTCCTCATCTTCTTCAACGTGCGCCTGTGTAGGAAGATCTTCAGCTCCTACAAGAAGCGGCGCCACCTGGGGCGGCAGGACCAGCCCAGGAGCTCACACATCCTGACCCTGACCCTGGTCGCCATCGTGCTGCTGTTTTTCCTGCTGGTGGCGCCCAGCGAGACGGTGCTGTTCGTCATGCAGATGAGCGACAGCACCAGCCTGCCAGCCGTGGAGGCCGTGCTGAACCTCATGCAGGCCATCAACTTCTCCGTCAACTTCATCCTCTACTGCATCATTAGCCCACACTTCCGCAAGATGCTCAAGTACCTGTTCGTCTGCGGCTGCTACAGGATATACACACACTCCAAGGATTGGAAGAAAGAATTCGAGACCTCACTCATGTAGCATATCATACAGGCTACATACACGGCTACATACAGGACATGGCTACATACAGGACATGGCTACATACACGGCTACATACAGGACATGGCTACATACAGGACATGGCTACATACAGGACATGGCTACATACACGGCTACATACAGGACATGGCTACATACAGGACATGGCTACATACAGGACATGGCTACATACAGGACATGGCTACATACAGGACATGGCTACATACAGGACATGGCTTCATACAGGACATGGCTACATACTCGGCTACATACAGGACATGGCTACATACAGGACATGGCTACATACAGGACATGGCTACATACAGGACATGGCTACATACAGGACATGGCTACATACAGGACATGGCTACATACAGGACATGGCTACATACAGGACATGGCTTCATACAGGACATGGCTACATACAGGACATGGCTGCATACAGGACATGGCTACATACAGGACATGGCTACATACAGGACATGGCTACATACAGGACATGGCTACATACAGGACATGGCTACATACAGGACATGGCTTCATACAGGACATGGCTACATACAGGACATGGCTTCATACAGGACATGGCTACATTAACGGCTACATACAGGAGATGGCTACATCTGTTACATAAACCTGTTTGACGCTTGGATTAGAGCTTGAGTAAATATTTACATATTGATTGTGATACAATGTATATATGATAACATGGTTTGCGATATCATTAAAATATAATTTTTGATTTTTTTTTATACACATAAAATATACGATTGACTTAAAGTTTGATGTGATAGGTTGTGTGATAGGTTGTGTGATAGGTTGTGTGATAGGTTGTGTGATAGGTTGTGTAATAGGTTGTGTGATAGGTTGTGTGATAGGTTGTGTGATAGGTTGTGTGATAGGTTGTGTGATAGGTTGTGTGATAGTTTGTGTGATAGGTTGTGTGATAGGTTGTGTGATAGGTTGTGTGATAGGTAGTGTGATAGGTTGTGTGATAGGTTGTGTGATAGGTTGTGTGATAGGTTGTGTGATAGGTTGTGTGATAGGTTGTGTGATAGGTTGTGTGATAGGTTGTGTGATAGGTTGTGTGATAGGTTGTGTGATAGGTTGGGTGATAGGTTGTGTGATAGGTTGGGTGATAGGTTGGGTGATAGGTTGTGTGATGTTTATTTAGATTGTTGGCGTCAACGTTGTCCATCTAGGGGAGGGGGGATTGTTAAAGCTAACCAAATCAAACGATCGATAATCTAGTGCCTTTTCCGTGTGGGTTGGTGCATTTCTCTGGAATACTTGACTCAAGGGGGCGGGTGTGTTCATAACTTTTGTCAGGACAGCAGCAGACGTCCCAGGTGTAGACGTACATACGTCATACGTGCTCGTGTGTCCTGGACGTCACATACACGGACGTACAGCCCTGACGTCACGTAGAGCCCTGACGTCATTGATATTGCCAACTTGCTAACAATAAGGCGAAATTTCCTACTGTAACCATAGCAACCCAATGGGTGTATTCTGTTGTTGTTTTGTCCGTGTCAGTGTGAGATGTTTTAATAACTATGTGCTCTGCTCATCTGTTTGATGATCATTAAACTGTTTGAAACAAGATTTCGTTTGTTTTTCTTTAAACAAACATGCACGGACGGTAATTAAACAACACAACGTGACTACACCAACCAACAGACCGTGACCACACCAACCAACCAACACACTGTGACCACACTACACCAACCAACAGACCGTGACCACACCAACCAACCAACACACTGTGACCACACTACACCAACCAACAGACCGTGACTACACTACACCAACCAACAGACCGTGACTACACTACACCAACCAACAGACCGTGACCACACCAACCAACAGACCGTGACTACACTACACCAACCAACAGACCGTGACCACACCAACCAACAGACCGTGACTACACTACACCAACCAACAGACCGTGACCACACAACACCAACCAACAGACCGTGACCACACTACACCAACCAACAGACCGTGACCACACCAACCAACAGACCGTGACTACACTACACCAACCAACAGACCGTGACCACACTAACCAACAGACCGTGACCACACTACACCAACCAACAGACCGTGACCACACAACACCAACCAACAGACCGTGACCACACTACACCAACCAACAGACCGTGACCACACCACACCAACCAACAGACCGTGACCACACTACACCAACCAACAGACCGTGACCACACCACACCAACCAACAGACCGTGACCACACCACACCAACCAACAGACCGTGACCACACCAACCAACAGACCGTGACCACACTACACCAACCAACAGACCGTGACCACACTACACCAACCAACAGACCGTGACTACACTACACCAACCAACAGACCGTGACCACACTACACCAACCAACAGACCGTGACCACACTACACCAACCAACAGACCGTGACCACACCAACCAACCAACACACTGTGACCACACTACACCAACCAACAGACCGTGACTACACCAACCAACAGACCGTGACCACACCAACCAACAGACCGTGACTACACTACACCAACCAACAGACCGTGACCACACCAACCAACAGACCGTGACCACACAACACCAACCAACAGACCGTGACCACACTACACCAACCAACAGACCGTGACCACACCAACCAACAGACCGTGACCACACCAACCAACCAACAGACCGTGACCACACTACACCAACCAATCGACCGTGACTACACCAACCAACAGACCGTGACCACACTACACCAACCAACAGACCGTGACCACACTACACCAACCAACAGACCGTGACCACACCAACCAACAGACCGTGACCACACCAACCAACCAACAGACCGTGACCACACTACACCAACCAATCGACCGTGACTACACCAACCAACAGACCGTGACCACACTACACCAACCAACAGACCGTGACCACACTACACCAACCAACAGACCGTGACCACACCAACCAACAGACCGTGACCACACTACACCAACCAACAGACCGTGACCACACTGACCATGACTCAATGCACTACACACACCAACTAACAGGGTTTAACCTTACTACCAAATTTAGAATGGGGTTTTTTTTTAACTCTTTTTTTGTTTTTTTTTACTTTCTCGTATATACGAAGTATAGAGAAAGTCTTGTAATCGTGCAAAAAAAAAAAAATCGAGATTTTTGCAAATCTCGACGTTTTGCATCTCACTGATACGGAAAAACATAATTTTGCAATCTTGTCCGTATGTCTGTGTGTCTGTGTGTGTGTCTGTGTGTGTGTGTGTCCGTGTGTAAACACGATAACTTGAGTACCGTTACAGCTAGGTTGATGAAATTTCATATATAAGTATTTTATCAAAATCGTAGATCCGTATCAACTTTTGAGCGATTTCCGATAACCGGAAGTGGTACTTTTCCTACTTTGAATTTTTCAAAAGCCTATAACTTGAGTACTATTTCAGATAGATAAATGAAATTTCATACGTAAGTAAAAGATCTAATTCTCTACCTTCTATTAAATTTTGAGTCATTTCCGTTGACTGGAAGTAGTACTTTACGCTACTTCCGATTTCTCAAAAAACTAATGTAAATTTTAAAAGTAATAATAATATTGCGCACTATTATGCGCTTTTTTATTTCGCGTTCACTTGGTGTGCAATTAATTTGTCTACGAGATTTTATTCTATTTTTAAAACTTTAAGTATTTAAAATGGATTAAAAATCATGTCTATAGCCCGAGTTCCCATCCCCTGTTATTTTATATAAGAATATTCGAGAAAGTTTAGGGGAGATCACTCCCGGTTTATTTTACTGCGGAATTTATTTTTTTTTATTTATACATCTGGTTGTCACATTCTCACAGGTGAGAAAATATTTGGCAAAACTGTCAGTCACATCATACAGGTGAGAAAATATTTGGCCACATTAGCCAACCGAAGGTTAGATATCTAAGGGACATAACTCTTGAAATATTTTTTACGATTTCGGTTTACGTGTTTTATTCCCCTTAAAACTGTTTATTGTTTTTAAATTAATCACTTCGGTTAATTAATTCAGTTAAATTCCATTAATGTTAAATTATGTTAAATTATGTTAAATTCACTATTTAAAAAAAAGTAAAATGACTTCTGAACCTCGTGGTTCATGAGACAGTTGAAGTAGAGTTCATCTGTTTCTGTGACTTGTACATATGAAGGTGCAGTATGGTAGTAGGCCTGCCACACCCGGGTGCCTTTACTTTCACTACCTTGAGTCAGGTACTGATCATGGGTGGGTGAACTCAGTGACGTCATAAGGACTGGAGCCCGCGGTCCGAACTTTGTGCTTTCGGGTTAGTAGCCGTGCGCTCTACGCCCGACCACACCGACTCCCAGATTAGATGTAAACTCGCAGGTTTTTGATCGATTATCAGCATCCTTCGATCGATTATCAGCATCCTTCGATCTATTATCAGCATCCTTCGATCGATTAATAGCATCCTTCGATCGATTATCAGCATCCTTCGATCATAATTTCGTACAGTTTCTAAACATACTATGTCTTTCATATCAAACGGATAGACACAACATCCTCTCTATATGCAGAGTTTCTTCCAGGCATCTCTTGGGGGGGGAGGGCTGAGCCCCCCGAAGAAAGTCTACCGCCCCCCACCCCCGAACGAAATGAAATTTATATAGAAAATATATACTTTTAACAGTGTCCGCCCCCCCCCCCCCGAAAATTTCAAGCCCCCCCCCCCCCTCGGAAAAAAAAGTCTGCAAGAAACACTGCCCCCATGTTAATCATTAGCCTTTAGTAAACTATCGTCATTGATCAGTTTACTTCACATCAGAGCTTTTATTACAATGCTGTTATTATGTTGTTGTTTTTTCAACCATCCAAAGTGAAAGAAAGGCCTCCGTGCCTACTGTTACCGTTATTGAATAAATTGAATAGAGATCTAGATCTATATTGTAGAACATTCAACTTTTTAAAAATTTGTTTAGATCTTCTAGATAAGTAATGTACCTGGGGGAAATAATAATATACTCTCAGACATATCTTACAATAAAATAGTACGTCTTACCTTTTTTTTTTT